GTGTGTGTGTGTGTGTGTGTGTGTGTGTGTGTGTGGCGTTGGTGTGGGTTTGCAGCCCCCATCGTGCGGGAGGCTCCCCTTCCCTTCCTGCCTTTGCAAAAAGGAGCAACCACGTTGGGGAACCCACAGGGCGAGGAGCTCTGGGCAGACAGCCTCTTGGCCTGAGGGCCTCCAGCCAGTCCCGCTGAGCCCTGGGGACACGCTGAATTTGGCCGAGGATGTGAACTTGGGGGCAGATCCTTGCTCATGTGAGACTCAGATGAGGCCACACACCTGACCGACACCTTGCTTCCTGCACTGCGAGACCCTGGGACTTGTTTGCCCCTGAAATGGTGCTTTTACCTCATCACCACGGCCCACATGCAGGCCGGATGGTCTTATCATCGACTACTACCCCAGGAGGAATCGATTGGAAGAATATTCTTAGGTTCTTTCTTTCACAAAATATTTTTTTAAAAATTATTTTTTATTGATTTCAGAGAAGAGAGAGAAGAGAGAGAGAGAGAGAGAGAGAGAGAGAGAGAGAGAGAGAGAGAGTAGAGAGAGAGAGAGAAAATCATCAGTGATGAGAGACAACCATTGATCGGCTGCCTCCTGCACCCCCCACACTGGGGATTGAGCCCGAAACTGGGGCATGTGCTCTGACTGGGAATCAAACTGGGACCTCCTGGTTCATAGATCGATGCTCAACCCCTGAGGCATGCCAGCCGGGCCATAGAGCATTTTTAAGGAAGGACTAGAAGTAGAGGTTATTCCAACATTCATTTATTTTGAGAGATACGTGGACATTGGGAAGTTATTATTTTTCTTCATTCTCATGAACCAGGCAATGCTTAATTTATGAATAATATTGCCTCTAGGGTTGAGAATTATCCGGAATAACAGATATCCTTCCCTCGGTAGCAGAGGAGGAAGCGGGAATTTACAAAATATAAGTTTCTTTCTTGGGAACTGAAATAAAAAATGTCAGTAAGAAGCTTGAGACGTCCAACCGCGGAAATCAAAGCCAGGGTCGCTGTTTGAGTCGACAAGTTTATTAGGTCAACAGAGACACAGGCTCCCGCGTGGAGCCACCACGGCAGCTGCTGTGACGTCATGACGCCGATGACGCCAGAACTGGGGTCGCAGGTGAGTTCACCTTACCCACGTCCATGAGGTGAAGGCAGGGGATTCCTGGGTTAGGTGGGAGGCCAACCCCAGGCCACCCTAGATTTTCCTGAAGCAGGAGAGCCACCACCTGTGAAAGACACAGGACACATGGGTCCCAAGTGGGTGAGTCCTGAGATGCAGGAGCAGGGGCTGGTCCCATGGCCTCATCAATAGTAGTAGCCAAAGCCAGAGCCATAGCCATGGCCACAGGCATAGCCACAGCCACAGAGGGAGCGGGAGCTGCAGCCACAGCCACAGCCACAGTCATAACCACAGCCGTAGCCACAGCCTCCGTAGCCACAGCCATAACCACAGCCGTAGCCACAGCCTCCGTAGCCGCGGCCCCCGTAATAGTTCCTGTAGTTGCCACACATGGTGCTGGGGGTGGGGTGTCCTTGGGTGGAGAAGGGGTGGAGGGGACTTCAGTCTGGACGCCTCTCCTCACAGAAGCCTTAATGGGCCTCAGGGCGGACGGACCCAAACATGAGCTCATGTCATTGGCTGGTTTCTGACTAATATAATGAGTTTGTTGTTTCAAGACTAGAGCTGGCCCTGAGGCATTGACGAAGGGTTGCTGTCACCACCGAGGACCTTTCATCAGACGGTACAGCGACGCCTACAAAACTCTCTCTCCTCACAAACATTCGCTTTAATGCCCTAGGACCAGGCACCACCCAGGCAGGAAACGTTTCAATAGTTTTCACTGACCTGCCCTCGAGCTCAAATAATCCCTTTTCCTCCTTGACATCCCCAAGGACACTGCCCTCCATGAGATGTGTTATTAAATTGTCAATTTAAATTTTATTTTTATTTCAATGTTTTTATTGATTTTAGAGAGAGAGGAAGGGAGAGGGAAAGAGAAAGAGAGAAACATTGATGTGAGAGAGTAACAGGGATCGGCTGCCGCTTGCACGCCTCCTACTGGGGATCGAGCCCCACATTGGGGGCATGCGCCCTGACGGGAATCACGGACGACACTCAACCACGGAGCACACGGCCGGGGCACGTGAGACGCTTTAACTCTTGTTCCCGCCCAGAGTCCCAGGGTGTATGGGCTGGGAACAGCAGGGAGGTGAGGGTGCAGAATAGATGTAATTTGGGAGATCATGTGTATTTTAATCAGCTCTCGCCTGATTATCGGGGGTGTGAGGACACAGCCCCTCTCATGGCACTGATGCCATGTGCCTTGATGAGAAATTAAAACGAGAAAACAGGATTTTAATACAGTCACACCCACACGTGAAATGTACTTTTATTCATTCAAAATGCTTCCTTTCTCCGTACGTGTCCTTGTAGGTGGACTTTTGTAAACAAATACGAAGCACGTCGTCTTCTTTCCTGTTTCGTGCACGTAAAGCCACGGGTGACGCGACCGTCACTGCTCCTGCGAGCCCACGAGTTCTGGACGTTTAAAAGTGTCCTGCGCTTCTTCTAAACCCGCGTTTTAACGTCCCTCGTGCTTCCTGCTTGATCTCGACGCTTGTTTGGGGGACTCTCCAGCCGCCTGTGTGCTCCTGCGAGCCCACGAGTTCTGGACGTTTAAAAGTGTCCTGCGCTTCTTCTGAACCCGCGTTTTAACGTCCCTCGTGCTTCCTGCTTGTTTGGGGGACTCTCCAGCCACCTGTGTCTTTCTGTCTGACTCGGCGTCAGTAGCATGTCTCCTTTTTACTATGTTGAGTCTAACTTCTTAGCACTGACCTCGTAGCCGGACGTACGCTCCATCTGGGAGGACTCCGTGGGCCCCGGGGGACAGCAGGCGCTGCCATCTCGGCTCACGGGCTGCAGAGGGTGCAGTCAGCTCCTGCTCCTGCTTCTGTCTTCATGACGCGAGTGATTCCCAGTCCACTTAGTTCTGCCTGCTGCCCAGTAGGAGCTTTGGAGCCTCTAGTTACAACTATGGATGTTTTCCTCGTGCCTCTCAGTACGTTTCTGGCTTGTTCCCTGCCTTTGGCGCGTCATTTCTGAGCCACACGGGGAGTTGCCACAGGAGCCGCACTTCTCTGTCCTCACGCAGCAGGGACACGGCTTCGCCCCAGGGCGTGTGCGGGGCCGCCCCTCACCAGCTCACGGGTTATTTACCTCCCGTGTATGTGCAGAAGCCGATCGTGGCTCTGGCCGCACTTCTCTGTCCTCACGCAGCAGGGACACGGCTTTGCCCCAGGGCGTGTGCGGGGCCGCCCCTCGCCAGCTCTCGGGTTATTTACCTCCGTGTATGTGCAGAAGCCGATCGTGGCTCTGACTGACTGTTGACGTATTCTGACTTTCACATTTAATTTACTTCAGACGCAGGTACAGCGACGTCTGTGCCGTTTTGCTATTTGTTTTCTCTTTTCTGACCTCTTGTCCCCTCCCTGCTCACATTTCTCTTATTAAATTACTAGAGGCCTGATGCACAAACATTTGTGCAAGAGTAGGCTTGGTCAGGAAGGACGTCCAGAATGACATCCAGAAGGCGTCTGGTCTAATTAGCATATTACTCTTTTATTATTATAGATTTGATAGGATTTTTTTGGAATTCCATTTTATTGTCTCTGTATTCACTTATTAGGTACAACAGATGTAATGATTGCTATAAACATTACAACATACATCTTAACGTATCCCACTTTTTGCAAATAATATTACACCATTTCACGTAACACTCCCTTCCCTTCACGCCACTCCGTGCTTTACTGTCAGACTCATTAGCGATTTTATGTTTCATGAAGATTTAATTTTTGTATCATTTTTGTTTTGATGCTTACTTCGTTTGATACTAATATAGCCTCTCCAGCTTTCCTCAGACCAGTGTTTATAATATATGAATAATTCGTGTGTATAGGATATGTACTTATATGTTTATTTCTAACGTGTCTGTGTCTGTTTAATTGTTGTGGTTTTTTAAAGAGCATAGATGTGCGTAATACTTTTAATTGTGGTGTCTAGACCATTTCCATTGGATGTAATTGTTGTCGTGGTTGTGTCTCTATCTCACTATTCGTGTTTTTCTTGCCACATTTGTTCTTCCCTTTTCTTTGCCTTATTTTCCTGCTTCTGCATCTTCATGTTGGTGTTTCATGTTCATCCTCCGTTGGTTTAGTAGCTAGGCCAGTGGTCGGCAAACTGCGGCTCGCGAGCCACATGTGGCTCTTTGGCCCCTTGAGTGTGGCTCTTCCTAAGCCTTAGGAGTACCCTAATTAAGTGAATAACAATGTACCTACCTATATAGTTTAAGTTTAAAAAATTTGGTTCTCAAAAGAAATTTCAATTGTTGTACTGTTGATATTTGGCTCTGTTGACTAATGAGTTTGCCGACCACTGAGCTAGGCCAACAGTGATGGTTTCAACAGCAACCAAGGGCTGCAACGTGCATCATAACTCACTCCCTTGGCCATGAGTCATATCATACAACTCACGGCAGCACATGCCAACTTTACAGTAGTCCACACTCTCCACCCTCTGATATGCATATTATTGATTTTACTCTTATGTGCCATAAATCATGCTTATTATTTCTAATTTAAGATTCATTATCATTATAAAATTAGAAAATAAAAAAGTTTCTGCACTAGCTGGTGTGGTGCAGTGGATAGAGCACCAGGTCGGCCAGCGGACTGAAGGGTCCCAGGTTCGATTCCCGGTCAGGGCACAGGCCCAGGTTTCGGGCTTGATCCCCAGTGGGGGGCGTGCAGGAGGCAGCCGATCAGTGATTCTTTCTCATCATCAGTGTTTCTCTCTCTGTCCCTCTCCCTGCCTCCGTGAAATCAATAAAAATATGTTTAAAAACGTTTTCCGTTTACCCCAATGGGTTATGGGAAAGCACTCGTCCTGGCTCCCTGTGTGGCTGTTACCTGCTCAGCTCTTCACTCTCCGGTTCATGGGACCCTTTTGCAAAGTCAAATGGGGAACATTTATTCAAATCCGCTCGTGAGCCTCTTGGAGACATAATCCTGTGTATGCGGTCACTCAGTATTGTACCTCAGATAACAAATTTAAAAAAATTCTCTCTGGATTTTAAGTTTGGGTAATTGCTATTGTTCTATCTTCAAATTTAATTTAAATTTTTATAATTTTAAGATCTTTGATCCATGAGATTCAGATGTTATCTAAATGTTATCTTAATTTTGTGACGTTTCAGAGGCATTTTAGGTTCCCAATATTTCATTTTAAAGACGATTTTTTAGAGAAGTCCTAGGTTTATATGAAAATTTAGAAGAATGTGCAGAGATTCCCCGTATTCGTCCCGCCCCTCCCCCACGCACAGCCTCCCCACCCTCAGCCTCTTCACGGAGCAGCATTTGGTCCAACTGAGGAAGCTGCGCTGACTCTCGGCGATCCCCCACGCTCCGTGGTTACATTGGGGTCGCCCTGGGGTTCTCTCCCGGGGCTGTACATCCCACGGGTTGAATAAATGCCCAATGGCATGGAGCCATCACTGTGGTCTTACACAGATACCTTCACTGTCCTACACTCCCCTCCTGCCCGCCGGCCGCCCATGGTTCTGCCCTCCACAGAAGGTCACAGAGTTGAAGTCATACAATGTGTAGCTTTTCCAGATTGGAATCTCTTTTCATTTACGAATACGTATCTAAGATCCCTCCAGGTCTTGTGGCTTCAAGCTCGTTTCATTTTATCCCGAAATAACATCCTGTTGTCTGGGTGCACCCAGTCCGTGTGTCCATTCACCTCCTGAGGGGCGTCTTGGCTCCTCAACTCTCGACGATGATGTAGAAGCTGCTCCCACATCCCATGCAGGTTTTCTGTGGACGTCAGAGCACAAGCTGGACCACGTGGGAGCGTGGGCTTCGTTTTATAAGAAACCACAAGCCTGTCTTCCCACGTGGCCGCACCGATTGGTTCCCACCAGCCGTGAATGAGAGTTCTGGCTTCTCAGTCCTGTGGGCGCCGGCTGTCGGTTTTGGCCGCTCTCAGAGGTGGTGGCGGCGTCTAATTGTCATTTTAATGTGGATGACGTCTCACGGGAACCATCTTCTCATGTGGTCATTTGCAATCTTCTTTGGTGAAGTGTCTGTCAAGGTCCTTGGCCCCTGGTTACATAAGGTCGTTTGCTTTCTTATTATTGAGTTTTAAGAGCTCTTTGTATATTTTGGATCACACTGCCAGATGTGCTCCTTACAAATACTTCCTCCCCGTGTGTGGCCTGTCTGTGTGGCTGGTTGACGTGGTCTTCTGCCGACGTTTTGATTCTAACAAGGTCTGGCTTATCCCTCTTCCTGTAGTGGCCCGCGCCTTTGGTGTGGTAACTAAGTCCCGGCCATCCCCAAGGTCATCGAGGTTTCCTCCTACGAAATCTTCTAGAAGATTTATAGTTTTTATTTTATATTTATGTCTGAGACACATTTCAGGTTAATTGTCGTCAAGGGTGCGAGGTCTATTTCTAGATTTTTTCTTTTC